ATTATTGGGTTAGGACTAGCCCCTAGTCCTATCCCAATATAGCGCCTCAACAATGGAAGGCTCTTACAGTTCATCGCGTTGCGACTCGTTGCTTTTTGCTGTGTTGACACTTAGTCAAGTCCTTCGTTGTTGATGGGCTGCTCCACTTCTTACGGTCACCGTCGGTCCATCCCATCGAACCAGCCGCTCGTACTCATTGCCGGTGTCCCGCTCCTCGCCTCAATCTTCAGCATTTTTAGGCTAGCTCGTCATGGACTCCCCTGATAACATGTCCACTCTACTGACTGGTGTGAGCTGCTGCCATTCTGGTGCGAAGTGGGATAGCTGAAAGTCAAAGGAACTGCCGGGCAAAGGTGAGGCAAGTTCGGGCAGCCTCACTCGGGACCCCCAAAGGTCGACAGCCACTTTCGGGGCTTCTCACGCCGACATCTTCAGAAACGGGCGGCTCTGCTGCTCCCGTTGCTGTAGCGACGCTTGTTCTTCATGTCTTCGCAGCTCGGAGCCCAAACGCACAGTGCCAGATCATCCACTGGGATATTTCTGGCTCGGGTCGCGTGCTCATGGCTCGGGTCGCGTGCCATGAGTTTTTTTTTTTTTCTTTTTCTACTAATCTCCTGCGTCGAAGTGGCTGGTGTGCATGCCCCGGGGTGACTTTTTTTTTCTTGTGCACCATCAGCACGCGCCTCGTGCCTTTCCTTTACTCATCAGAGAAGCTGAAAATATCGGCAAGCTGACCACGAACTTCGGGTCAGGAAAGCTGAACGTAAATGTCAACGTCGGCAGGAAACTTCTACGAAAGCAACACAAGCATAGCACGCTTAAATGGAGCATCAGCATTATTAAGACGACCCCGAACTGCGGGCTCAGGAAGTCTAAGCACAATGGTAGCTTCTAGCAGCAGCTTCCGATCCCAAAGTGACGAGGCAATGCGATTTTGCTGCCAGAGTCATCGTTGACCACGAAGCCCCCGCAATGCTTTCGCGTCTCACCATGGTTGCCTGTAGGGGGAAATGATGTGTAACTTTTTTTTAGTCGCCCCTATTTCTCAGTTTTGTGAATTTCCCAAATCTCAAGGTCGCCAACTTTGCAGATCCACATTTGAATCCTCAGAGTCTGTCAGGATTTCACAGGTGTGGCAAATGCATATGTGGACTTTATCATTGTTTGCTGAATGGGGTGGTTCAAAATACTACTTTTATTGAACTAGCTGTGCTCATGCCTACTCTGCACGATTTAGAGGATGTTGAGTGCTTTGTACTTTTTTTAATCTAAATGTAAACCTCCTTTTCATACTGCTCCAAATTTGATCTTCCGTGATTGAAATAAATGTTTTGTTCCCCATAATCAGCTCCACATTTGCATTTTAGTGCTCCAAAAGTAACATTATGCTGTTCTAAAAATTTCTCCTAATTCTATTTTGGTTGTTGCACCTCTGTGTAGTGCACCCTTTGCTGATTTGCAAACGGAAGAATTACGGCGTAGTGTAACAGTACTTTCTGTAGGCCTATCCTAGGATAGTTGGAAATGGCCACTGTTACACTCACAGTTGTTTGTTTTTATATGGTGTAGTTGAGGCATATACCAAGTACTGAAGCTAGGCCAGCAATTGAGAAGGTGATGCACATGGGGCCCAATTACGCTATCGCAGTCTACTCTTGAAGGTCAAGTTCAAGCTTACTCCAAGTTCTTCAGGTGTAATCTAAACCACTCAATTAGTTTTTGTTAGGTTCCAAGTTACGAAGAGATTTCAGGAAATGAAAAGGCAGAAATGAGGGCTGCTAGTGCCAAACTTCAAATTGTATCAAAACATAACAATACCTTTGAGGGACGGTCTTCTAGCTATTCGCAGAATTCTGAGCGAGAACTGGCAGAGGCTATGGAACAGGAACTGTACTATACTCGGCGGCAACTTGTCTTGACATTGGAGCGAAGGCTACGGAGGCAGACATTCGCGTTGCTTCACAAGTAGTACTGCAGCTTGAGAATGAGCTTGATTTTGCTCGTTTGCATCGTTAATGCATTTAGAAAAACACATACACGAAAAATGGGAATGGTAGAAACATTTTGATTGTTGGAGTGCACATTCTAGTGCCATATTACGAGCTTTGGAGAACTGAGCGTATTTGCGGCCACACGCTGGCCCACTACGTCATGGATGCCATGTTTAGTTTAGAAAACGGGTGTGCTGAAAAGGTGGTGCTGTCTATGAAGTTGAAAGAAAAGGAAGGCATTATTGTAAAGTGAGCAATAATTGTATTTTAGAAGGCTTGAAAGCCTGGCTAGTTGGTATATATTGATATTTAAATATTGGCAGCGCAGACTTAGGGGACGCAGAAAGAGGACACAAACAAGTGCAGACTGAAACTTGGATTTATTCAGAGAAGTTATGTCAGCTCACCTTCTATATCGCTTTTTATTTTATTTATTTGATACTATTAACCCCGTGCTTGGGGTCATTACAGAGACGGTGTCACAGGATACATATCATTCGTGCAAAAAAGGAGAACAAAATTAACATCCTGTAGTACATAGGAATAACATGAGTAACTAGCATTATAAATTAAGAAACAAACTATAGTTGTTACGCAGACAAAAATCTTCAAATAAATGCTCATGCTGGGAATTAGCTTGCATCACTACAGATTGTGAATTCTTGTTTCTGGATGACGCTTGATTATGGTGGATACATCCTTCTTGTATTCGTGTTTTGCGGGCATATATTCTGTGAATTAATCCAAGTTTCAGTCTGCACTTGTTTCCGCTTTCTGTGTCCTGCTAGTTGGCGCTGCCAAAATTTGAGTATGAATTGTACAGTAAAACCTCGTTAATTTGAACTTGGTTATTTTGAAATCCTGCTTAATTTGAAGGATTTCTGCGGTGCCGTATTTTGCAATTTAAGTTTAAGTGGATAATTTGAAGTGGCGGCTGGCAGCAGTCCAGTTAATTCGAAAACTTTGGGTGCCATGTGCCAGTTCCAGATGCCGATTTCACCGCGAATCTGCGGAAATGACGGCCATTAATTGCCACAAGGCAATGCAACGTATTGATACTAATGAGTGGAACCTGAAGCACCTCAGTCTCACTACTTCCAGCACACAAAAAAAGAAAGAAAACGGTTTCATGGTCAACCAAAACGTGCGCCTGTGGAAATTGAGCTATGCTTCACTGCAACACAGTGGTGACACGAGGGCACCACTGTGTGTCATGCAACGTCAGCGGGTCATGGTTTACCCATTCTTCCTGGGATTGTAAAGAATAAAAGACAGTTTAACGGAAATCGCGATGTATGCGAACCTCCGATTGCTGGTTGCTCCAGCAATTTGTGTCTTTGCACTGCTGGCGGAGTTGATTGATTGATATGTGGGGTTTAACGTCCCAAAACCACTATATGCTGGCGGAGTTCTTGCCAGCAACACCTACTTCGAAAACTAAATAGAAAGTTTCAAAGATAATTTTTTCCAGCCAAAACACATTGTGAGCTTCGCCATTCTGGCCATTATTCAATTCATAATTATAATAGAAATAATGTGCAAATGGTCGCATCACGACGTGTTGGCGCAGCAGGGAGCAAGCGATATGCTGCCGCGTGTCACTACTGTGTTGCAGTGAAGATGTCTTGTTTTCAGCAGGTGCGCAGTTCGGTCACGACCGTGTTTTCTTTTCTTTTTTTTTTTCAATGGCAGCAGCAAGGTCCACCATTCTTCCATGTTCGCGTCAAAATAAAGACGAGGTATTGCTAGAAAACATAACCTTTGGAGCCGCAAGCTAGCTGGCACAGCAAACGACGAGCACCGAATACTTTTAATAGTTCCAAGTTCCTTGCATCCCACTTTTTGTATGTTCTGTTAATTCGAAAACCCGCTTAATTTGAAGCTTTCTCATGGCCCAAATGACTTCAAATTAAGGAGGTTTTACTGTATTTTATCAACAACTTCCCGAAACAATTTGAATTTCTTGATAAATAAAGCAGCATTCATTTCAGCTAGGCTGATGAGAAAACTATCAGTAAACTTAAGCACAATTTTTTTGCATGATAACACTCATGCTCTTCAGTTCTATTGCTTCCATGCTGCTGTCAAGAAAAGCTGTCACTGAGTATAGCAAATTGCATCTCATCACTTCAGTTCTAGGTGAATTGAAAACGTGCTATTACCTAGTATGCTTCATTGAGGTGATATTAGCCTAACTTCAAATAGGGCACACATACCTTACACACAGTTATCTACTCACAAAAGAAGCAAAGCCAATATGTGAAAATTGTTATGCTCCACTGACACTATAGCACATTCTAATCAGATACCCTGCTATCGAAATGCAAAGACCGAAACACCTCTAGGGATTATATAGAACGCACTCACCTTTACACCCATTCATTGTTTTAGGGGATGATGTACTTGTGCCTGTCTCAAATGTTATGAATTTTTTTAATGAAGCAGGCTATGTCAACGGATCTAACGCTGGTTTTTCCCCTTTACCTTTGACCCCCATGACAGTTTGCCCTTGGCGCAGGATAACCCAAGTCGCTTTTAGAGCAGTAGTTCGTTACAAACAATCATTTCAAAGACAGGCAAAGCTTGCTCACCTGTTGACGAACTACACAGTTGGTGGCATGGATGTGGTCATTGGTTGATTGCGTGATTGTAAAAACATCCCCTGTAATTTTATCATGGGCAATTCCACGGCCTATAGCACAGAGTCTTGTTCTGGTTGTGAACTCTACATGTTCTATATATTTTGAAAAGCTGCCAGGCTAAAGCATCTGTAGCTAGAATTATTGCAAAGCAGCACGGTAGCATTCAGGTTAGCACAGCTGCGCAATCTTTGATTGAGGAGACTGTTTTCTTGTACTGTGATTGTGCATCTGAGGGAGCCTAGATTAGGCCAGATAGCTTGCACTATGGCTTTTCGGTTACCTGTAGCTCTTTTCAGTTTAGAATGGCAGCTGGTTTCGTGGTGATTGCTGAAGAATAAAATTAAAAAAACAAAACTGTTGCTTGCAGCACTTGGTTCATCAGCACTGTTACGTCGCAGAGAATTACTCTGAAGAACTGAAAAAGTGGGCTGATGTTGACTATTTTGATAAGCATTGTCGACAAGTTCAACTTCCATACAACATGGTGAGAATATTGCTTCATTTCTGTCTCCTTTCTCTAGTTTTGTACTAAGAGAAATATCTGGTCAAGTATTTTACATTTGAAGAAGTACTACTTACATTTGTCCAATGTGTGTAAAGCTGTGCAGAGTGTTGCTCATCGGAGGTGGTGGTAGTCTGTCTCTTAGCATCATTGCATCTGTATTTTCATGCTTGTCCTGATTGATGGTTTTTAATAATAATTATCACCAACTTGTATCCACTTGCTCATAAATTGCTCATAAAGGGGATAGGTAAAAATTTACAGAAAAACAAAAATAAGTGGGATCTTGTATGGCAGGAATTACCAGGTCACATGTGACCATCAGCTACCTACTGTCCTGCAAAATAAGTAAAAAAGCAAAGCATAGTTGTGCAAAAAAAGCGCACAACTATGCAATAAGCAAAAAAAGAAAGAATAAAAGTTTAAAGTCAGGAGAGAAGACTGCTGTGTTAATTAGCAAACGAGTGTAGCTCATACCCTTGTTTTCATGAAAAGGAAGGAATGGAGTCCGGTAGGCCATGCAATTTTCGGAAAATTCTAAAATATGCTGGTATGAACAGAAAAAATCAGCTGCGGTAAGATGGGGATATAGCATACATTAAGGCATTGAATATGCCAAATTAAGGCGACTCGTCCTTCCTGCCAGTGGCTGAACCGCCTGGCACACAAAAGGCCCGAGTTTGATTCTGGCTCAGACCCATAATTTTTATTTTTTTGTCTCTGCTGGATTTTTAACTCACAACGAATGACACCGACACTAGTTTCTCAGGCATGGGCTCTTTAATGCTTTTGCACTTAAAGTGTGATCATTAAGTGATAAATATTATAATGCAGGCTAGGTCCAAAAGGTGGCACTGCACATGTGTAGCAATGTACAATGAAGTACAAGGTGATATGGGATGGACATCATTTGAGGGCAGGGAAGCTAGCAGCAAAAAAAATTTGAGAAGCGATTGAGAGAAATGGGGGAGGAGCGTTGGGCTAGGAAGGTATTCAGCTACTTGTACATGGAGAATGTCGATACAAATTGGAGGAAGTGAACGAGAAAATGACTGGTAAATACTTAGAAAATGGCAGGGGGCCAAACCAAAAAGAATTATCGGTTAGGAAGAAGGTAAAGGAAGCTGAGACCGATATGTCCAGAATTGGCATGATTAAGAAGTCCGCACTAGAGATCTATCGAACTTTAAGCAGGAAATTGCCCAGGAAAGGATCTATGATAATAGTCAGGGTAGTTCTCTACTGTTTGAGGCCAGGACGGGAGTATTGCGAACCAAGACATATCGAGTCAAATACGAAGGGGTAGACTCGGTAAGCAGTGCCTGTGGAGAGGAAGCGGAAACTGACAAACACTTGATAATGTTCTGTAAAGGGCTTCACCTTATAGTTCAGGATGATGGCACAGAGTTCTTCAAAGCACTGGGGTTTAGGGACACGGAGGGCAAAATAGACTTTAGGCGGGTAGAATTAACTAGAAGGAAGTTATCTGATTGATGGCTAAAGTCAAGGCACGAGTGAAAATAAACCCTTCACTGCAAAGTACAAGTCCTCAACCTCGCTATTTAAAGGGAAAAAAAATAAATCTAGTTTTTCGGTTCACTAAGTATTATGGCTTGATGGCGTTACCCGCAGCCCGATCTAAAGGGTACAGCCATATCAATCCATCCATCAATCCAATCCAGTGTATATTTTGAGAAGTGGTACCTTTTGCTTTTTAACTCTCACCATTTCTCTTTTTCTTGTATTTTGTCAAAGCTACATATCATTTGTATATGTGCTGATGACAACACCTTAGTAGTGTGTATAAAAAGTGCTTTTGTTTCAACCCTTCTTTCAGACTTCCAGTGGTGCTGTTGGCGGCTCTGGAGTTGGGAAAATGGACATCTGCTTCAACATTGTGAAGAGAGTACAGGAGTCCATAGCCAAGAAGAAACAGAATACGGTCAGTGTGTATAAATGGTGTGCTGCAGACATATAAGTGAAAGTGGCCACGTACTTCCTGTGATTTATTTAGTATTTGTCTCTTTGCAGCTTGCAGATGATGAAGAAAAGCTGCAGCAGCTGATTAGTATTCAGGAGCTGTTGGAATATGAAGATGAGGCGACATTTCAGGTCAGAAATCTAGCTGAAGTATCCTCTTATAATAGATGAGTATGAAACTAGACGGCAGGGCAGAGCTGCACTATTATGCCATTATATAGTACTGCAAGCCATGGACATAGTTTAATGTTGCATATTTGTAAACTAAAAAAAAAATATTTCTTGTGTATGAAAGGCTATTGTAGGATTTTTTAGGAACAAGCTGTTAAAAATGTTAATGTTCAGATAAATCAAAGCTGCGATATTTCATCAAACAAATGCCCCGCCGTGGTAGTCTAGTGGCTAAGGTACTCTGCTGCTGACCCACAGGGCACGGGATTGAATCCCGGCTGTGGTGGCTGCATTTTCGATGGAGGCGAAAATGCTGTAGGCCCATGTGCTCAGATCTGGGTGCACGTTAGAGAAGCCCAGGTGATGATAGGCTTTTCGTCACTTTCGATTTTTCATAGAGTCCTGGGATAGAAACCGTCATGTTTAGGGCAAGGGGGTGTGGCTATCTGTACGTGTAGTGTGTCCGTGCGAGGTGCCAGATGGCTGCATTTCACCATCTCTGAAATTTTTATAGTTGAATGTGCTCGTGCCTTGTTTTAAAAGGTAACACAACTGACTTGGGCGTTGTAATGACTCGTCGACCGGGACGCTAGCCCATCCAGCCTTGTCTCAGTAGCCGGCAACAACGAATACTTCTCGTCAGAGCTAGAAGCTGCTGATGGCAATTTACATCCGTGTAACTGTAGCAGCATTGCTGATGATCAATACAATAGTGGTCAGCCTGCAAAATGAGGTAAACATGCCAGGCCTGAAGTCTCGAATAACCAATGCCAAGTGCTTTTGCGGGCTCTGTCCCATACAACAGTTGCAATGCAGTACAGTCTAGCGAGACTGAGAAAAGGGGTGTCTGTAATAGTTCAATGACTGTACTGCCAGGCTGGGATTTCCTTTTCTTTTTCAGATTGAGTAATACATAAGGATTATTCGTGCCGTAATTAGAACTCAACAGACATCAGTTATGTGGAGGCTTATGCGAATAGTGAGTTTTAGGTTTGAAGCGAATACTGATTTTGGTCGAATAATTTTGAATCGAAGTCGAAGAGTATATATTACATATTATAAAAAAAAATCGGTTCCAAATCCGCATGTTGCACCACAAATGTCGTCGAAAGACGATAGTCTTGCGTCTGGAGAGAGTGAACAAAATGTTTATTTCATGTTCTGCGCAAGAAAATCGGTAAATGGTATTCTGGAGGCGCTGCATTAGAGTGCCTCGAGCGTGTAGCGAAGGCGAACGAGCGCATTGTGGCACGCCGGACACAAGCGCCATCTGGCAGTTATCTTCAAAAACGAAGGTGTGCAGCCCGCAGAGAAAGATGCGCGCCAGTCTCGTAGGTGATAAGGTGTAGAACGCAAAGCGACGGGCCGGTGCCACCACCGTGACGTTGTAGCAAAGCGTTGGAAACACCTTTTTGAGCATCGCGTTGCACTGTCAGAGCAGTGCGATAAACGCTACATTCCTTAGAGTTACTTGTCTGTGCCTCTTCTAGTATAAAGGCAGACATACGAAACTTTGAAGCGTTGTTATGGCACCTCAGATATGTGCAACACTTGTTTTTTTTTAATTGACAATCGCACAAGTAAGAATGTTAAATCTTGAGCAATATTGGTGGGCGCTGCGGATGGGGTCGGCCGTTTGATGCCGTTTGAGGTATCGTTATGACGGACAGACAAATGTACAGACAGACAGACCAAAATTTTTTCGTCGAAGGTCCCTAAGAAAGACTATCGTTTTTAAAATGGGCATATTTGTCATGACCTAACTAATGTGCACAATATTTTTTAAATATTGAAGAGCAAGGCCTGTCATTTTTTTTAAACTCTCAAAGAAAGTGGGCCTTTGTATCGTAGCGGGATTTGACTTTTGGTAGAATACAAGTGATAACCTGTAAAAATACGTTACATTTCAAAATTTACTATACTTCCAGCATGTAAGCCTGTGTAACAACTTTTAAACTTAAGAAAATGATGAATCGATGTGAGAATAAAATGCTTATTTAAAGGCCAACTGCAACGAAATTCGGCACCCCGCAAAAAGTCAATATATAGGTAGTCTAGCTAGAGGTAGTGCTGCCTGTCAAACGGCGCCTTTGAAATACAAGCGCTTACCTTAGAAAAAGCTTGCAAACGACGGTGTTTTTGAGACCGAAACTAGAAAAAAAAAAACGACACCATTACAGCTGACCAGAAATGAGGTTAACGACAGAAAAATCGTCTGCTCTGCGCTTCTCGACCACACATCGCGGCCGCGCCCCTTAGTCTGTGTGTTTTTTCTATGTTAAGAAAGCTGCGTAAACATGCCTCTTATCGAACGCTGGTCCGGGCTGGTGGGTTTGCAGTGTCTCACCCCCGTATTCAGAAATTCTGCTTGACTTGAACTTTTCTTGCCATCAACTTCAATGCAGCTGAAGGCATTTCGAACGGGCTGTCTTTAGGCAGTGCCAAGGCAGTACAAACACCCAGACACGTTTCAAATGCGCTGCATTGAAAGTGGTTTCAACGCAGGAAGCATCGATTCAGTGGCAGGGAGGATTGCTCACAAGGAGTGACGTGGCGACGTTCTGTAGTAATCGTCATATCCGCTTCTGTTTCATAATTGCCTGGGCACACCGCTAGAGCTCTGCGTCGTCTGCTTGCTGGCAATCAAAGTACCAATTATAAATTAAATACGTGACTGCAACATTTTTCACTGTGGTTGTCATAATTTACCGTATATATACTGACGCAAGGTAGGCTGGCAACTATAGTGGCCAGCCTCTGAAGAGGATAACAAAGTAGGTAGTTTTGTGGGCGCATGTTCTGGTGTTCGCTTTTGGCCTTTCGTACCGAAAGCAAACACCCTATTTTGTGCCCGCATCCCTGTGTCCTTGTGACATTTTCTGGTGGAAGTGCTGGGTGCGGTAGATGATACGGCCCTCAGAGAGCACCCCAGATGCAAGCCCATCGAGTAGCTCAGCCGAGCTTACCCCTGTGCACGTACGTTCTAGTCGTCGTCTCCAGGGACTTGAGCTACAGCACGGTTTGCTGCCTAAACGACCGAGGACTATGACCCAAACACCCCCTAACGTTACCGCGCCAGCACCAGCGCACCTGGTTGTCAACCAACCCAAGACGCCGAAGACATTCTACGGAGCTGCTTTTGAAGATGCCGACGACTGGCTCGAGCATTTCGACCGGGTCGCCGTCATCAACGATTGGACCCCAGAGCGTAAACTACGCTATGTGTATTGCTTTCTCGAAGACGCCGCGAAAACGAGGTTTGAGAACCACGAAGCAATGCTTACGTAATGGGATGAGTTTCACCGGCGCAGTTCCTCAAGGCCTTTGCCCGAGAGGACAGGAAAGAGACAGTGGAGCGTGCTATAGAGGCAAAGGTTGCAAGGCCCTAACAAAAGGGTGACGACCTACATAGAAGACATGAATCGAGTTTTTAGGAGTGCGGAGCCCTCGATGACCAAATCCAAGAAAGTTCTCCACTTAATGCGTGGTGTAAAAGAAGAGATTTTTGCTGGCCTGATTCTAAACCCGCCTGCGACACTTGCGGAGTTCCATGAGGAAGCCACTGCCATGGAGACAGCGTGCCAGGCAGTATAATCGTGATGTACATCCAAGCGAGGTCACTTCTGTCACTCTTGGTAACAACATCAGCGGGCTGCGAGAGCTCATCAGAGCTCTCATCAAGGAGGAGCTACAGAAGATGCAGGTGACTGCTTCACCTGTAGGTCAGCTCCACGTTGTGGAGATGGTATGTGCCGAGCTACGACAAGCCGTTTACGCTCCCCAACAGTCCGAGGCACCACAGCGGCGGCACTGCGTCGAAATGAGCTACGTGGAAGCAGTTAGGTGTCCTCCATCGTGCAGTGCACCCAGCGTGTTTTACCCCAGTGAGCATCGCACTCAGCAAATAGAGGTAGCCTTCAGTCCTCGCAGCCGCCGTTGTATCGCTGAAGCACGACCGAGGAAGAGTGACATCTGGCGTACACCCGACCACAGGCCCCTTTGTTTCCACAGCAGGCAAGTCGGACACGTCTACCGAACATGTCTATACCGCCGTGTGAGTCTCCGTGGATTTTCGCCAAATGCCCCTCGACCACGACCTGGTGAGTGACAACTGGAAATAGAGAGTTTCATCTCGAATCGCCGCAGTATCGAACATCGGTCACACGAACCCCGCTCGTCATCGCTTGCTCGCTACAGGTCACCAAGCCCAGCCTATTCTTGCGGCGCTCCGAGACGCCGCTCACTTAGTCTTGCAGGTCGGGAAGTTTTGCAGGCATGCCACGGCGATCGTTCTGTCAGTCACTTAAGCTTTTCTAGGACAAATAGCGCGCATACAACAAAAGTACTACTGGCCACAGCTGTATTCGTCCGTGCAGCGCTTCGTTCGAACCTGCCGTGACTGTCAAAGGCATAAAGTTCCACCTGTGAAGCCAGCTGGTTTCCTCTAGCACCGTTTCAGTAAGTGGGAATGGATATTCTCTGTCCATTCTCTACGTCATCCTCAGAAAACAAGTGTAATTGTCACAAATGACTATCTGACTCGCTATGCAGAAACCAAAGCGGTGCCTGGGTGCACCTGCTGCTCTCATAACCGATCGCGGAGCAGGATTTACAGCAGAGTTTTTACAACAGGTCGCCAAGCTGACGCATACTAACCACCGAAAAACAACACCTTATCATCTCCAGGTGAATGGCTTAATGGAGCGGTTAAACAAAACACTGGCCGACATGCCATCTATGTATGTTGATGTAGAGCACAAAACGTGGGATGAAATTTTGCCGTACGTCACGTTTGCTTATAATGCTGTAATAAATGTATAAACATATATAATACTGATGCACGTATGTGCCAGTGGCGGTGACAATGAAGCAGCGCGAGTGTCCTTGGCCGAGAGTAGAGACGAAGAAGACGTTGAAGTCTTTTTCCTGTGATCGATAAAGCTGTGTGTGCTCGAGGTGCT